GTGACAGTGCAAAAGAGTCGATCAGAATGTATATTGCAATTTTTGTCCTGAATTTTGCATTGGGGCTAGCTTACAAGCAAAAATACTTTTGGAACAGAAGCATCCAATACAAACTGATAATTCACCAATGATGAAATATGCACTGTGAGGTGGCAATGGCTTTTTGTTTGTGTTCTGACATCAGATGCAAGCACATTTTAAAGGAAATTTACTATACAAAGACCTGATTGCTATTACAGTTTTTTCAATATGTTTCAAGTCAACACCCTTTCACAAATCAAGGAAGTTGTTGTAGATATTCTATGATTAAGTTTCAGTTAAAGCCTGTAGATTTGTATGTATACTTTTCTCAACTTTGGAACTTTCATTCAGTTTCTAAATATCATCCGAACTCTTCTGGTATTAATAAAAGCAGTTAAAAGAGATAAAGAGAGACAGAACACATATTTTGGTTCATATTTTGGGTGGAAGAGTAGCAGGAGCCAGAAAACCTTCTTTAGTCTGCCCTGAATTTCAAATTTTGTAGGTATTTGAAGGCAAAAGGATGCTGCCAAGGGCCCTCTCAGCTTTTCATTATTCCACCATTAAACTTAACAAAAACAAACAAAACCCTTCTGTCCATCTGCCCGGTTCCCAATCAATTCAAGAACAGCAGAGCATGGAGATGGCTTGTGTATTCTTTTCAAGACCATCTTCACAGTAACTGTTTGAACTTCTTGGATATGAAATTGACAGCAGATTTGAAACTCTGCAAATAAAACAAAACAATCTGGGAACCATCAGTGATGAACCAAGTTGAAAGGATATTGGGAATCCCCGTGTAAATTAAATCAGAGCTCTGCTTTGGCATGGTCTTTCCAATTAGTCTTCAATTCATTTCCCATCATGCAGGAACACATTGTAACCAGCTTTTCCATTTTTGGACACCCCAGAATGATCAATCCATGTATTATTCCAAGAGGTCTACCTCCACTTTAGAAGCATTTGGTGCAAACTCTTTCAAGCTCATGATTCCCATTCCGGGAGACTGTAGGGCTTTATTATTATAGACTGGATTTGGCATTTTAATCTACCCATCAGATCCAATCCTTGTCTTTACAAATTATATACATTTTCCCCGTCATCTTTCTTGCCTTTTTGGTCCCAAGGATTACTTGGTTCTGCTGTTACTAGGACAAGTAAGAACTGTGCTTCCCCTCCCCCTTATTCAAATAGAGCAGATATATATTTTGGAATTGTTAGCAGAGTAGGTCTTTAAATGGTCTGCAATGTTACCAGCAATAGACCAGAAGAACAACAAACACTTGATTGGGGCCAGAACAAATTAAATTTACAAATTTAATAACATTTAATTTAAATCAAGTTTAATTTAATTAATTTCATATAATTTAAATTTAAACAAGGACCAGAGGGATTATATCCCAGAGTTCTGAAGGAACTGGCAGATGTGATCTCGGAATCATTGAACCATATATTTCAAAGATCCTGGAGTACTGGAGAACTACCAGAGGCCAGGAAAAGAGCTAATGTGGTCCTAATCTTAAAAAAAAAAGTGGGGGGGGGGGAGGATCCAGGAAACTACCCACCAATCAGCCTGACATCAATTTCTGGGAAGATCCTGGAAAAGATAACCAAACAATAGATCTGTGAATACCTAGAAGTCAGCAAAGTTATAACCAGCAACCAACATGGGTTTGTCAAAAACAGATGCCAAATAAATTTTATTTTATTCTTTGTCAAAGGGACTCAATTAGTGGACCAGCAAAATGCTGCAGACATAGTATACTTCGATTTCAATACGGAATTTGACAAAGTATATCACAATCTACTTAGTAAGTTGGAAAAATGTGTGATTGACGGCATCACCATTAGGTGGATTCAGAATTGGATGACAAACCACACTTAATGTATAATCCTTAATGGAACTACATCTATATGGAGGGAAGTAAGCAGTGGGATACCTCAAGCTTTTGTTTTAGGCCCAGTACATAAACAATTTAGATGAGTGTATAGAAAGGGAACTCATCAAATTTGCAGATGACACCAAGCTGGCAGGAATAACCACCACCCAGAAGATAGGCTCAAGATTCAGATGGATCTTGACAGATTTGACTAGTGGACCCCACCTAAAAATGAGATTCAATGGTGAGAAAAGTAAGGTTTTACACTTAGATAAGAAAAACCAAATTCACAGGTATAAAATAGGTGGAACCTGTCTCAATAGCAGTAACTGCAAGATAGTTCTTGGAGTCCTAGTGGACAATCATCACACAGAGCCAGCAGTGTGCAGCCACCACCAAAAAAGCCAATGGCCAATGAATCCTAGGATTCATTAAAAGAGGACTAGAACAGTGGTGGGTTGCACTTACCATCACTACCGGTTCGCTGATGATGCGCACATGTGTTCCATTCATACCTGCACATGTGTACAATCCACTGCCCCTGTGACAACCAGCTGATTGTTGGGGCCCGTGCAGGCGCGTGCACAATTTGCCTGTTTGCCATAAAAAAAGGTTTAGAGCATGGGTGGGTGGGTGGGCCAGTGGGTGGGCAGGCGAAAAGATCCACCATACCGGTTCACTCTCAGCTGCAGTGGGCCACTACCGGTTTGGCCGAACCAGGCCAAACAGGCAGCAACCCACCTCTGGAATAGAATCAAGATCATGTTAACTGTTAGTACCATTTTATAATACCTTGGTAAGACCCCACTTGGATACTGAATCTGATTTTTGCTGCCACAATTTAAAAAAGATGTTAAGACTCTGGAAAAAGTGCAGAGAAGAGCAACAAAACCGATTAGGAGGCTGAAGACTAAAACAGAAGAATGGTTGCAGAAGTTGGGTATTTCTAGTCTAGTGAAAAGAGAGACTAGGGGCTGATAGCAGTCTAATATTTGAGGGGCTGTCACAAAGAAGAGAAGGCTCAACCTATTTTGCTAAGCATCAGAAGACAAAACAAGAGGCAATGGGTGGAAACTAATCAAGGAAAGAAGTCATCTAGAACAGCTTGCTTTCGGAAGTTGTGGTGTTGGAACACTGGAGGTTTTAAAGAAGAGATTGGACATTCATTTCTCTGAAGCAGGGTCTCCTGCTTGATCAGGGGGTTGGATTAGAAGACCTCCAAGGTCCCTTCCAATGGCATTATTCTGTTATATTTTGTTATAAATAAAAATAATTAACTATGTACAGTTAATATTATAGGTATTCATTCAATTAATAATCCTTCTAGTACATTAAAAATGGCAATTTAAGGCTTTTGTCTGTTGCATGTAGCCCTGAACCTCAGTGCTATTAAGGTGGATTGTAGTATTACAATTCTCACCAGTTCTTATTTGCTAGCTGGACACTATAACACTTTAGCTCAAGTGGGCTCAAGGTAATGATAGACAATGATAGATAATGAGATGGTAGACTGAATGAGAGATGTTCAGTGATCAATCACAGGTATATTACCTGTATACTGCATGAGTCAAAAAGAGGGCTGTGAAAATAACTACAGACCCCTCATATCCTGGACATAAAGTGTTTCAACTTCTACCCTCAAAACGATGCTATAGGGCACTGCACACCAGAACAACCAGACTCAAGGATATTTTTTTCCTGAATGCCATCACTCTGCTAAACAACTAATTCCCACAACTCTGTCATATTACCTAAGACTGTATTACTATTATTCTTCTCTTCTTTCCTAGTACATATCTCTTCCCACATATGACTATAACCATATCTTTAAACAATTTATATTGTTTTATTGTTTCCTAGTATAATTTAATTCCTTATGACATTGTATCTTGATTCTTGATGAATGTATTCTATTTTATTTTTCTTTATGTACACTGAGAGCATATGCACCAAAGACAAATTCTTTGAGTGTCCAATCACACTTGGCCACAAAGAATTCTATTCTATTCTAAATAATCTGTCTAGTTGCTTTTTCCTTCCTATAATTCTGTATCCTGTATGGCAATTTAGAAGGAGGAAAGGAAAATTTATTTGCTACTAGTATTTGACTATACTATTTGGATTTATTTCTTTATGGAATTATTTTTTAGCGTAATGCTTTTTTTAGATGTCCTCATTATTTTGTCTTTTGCTAGTTCTGTTAATCTTCTTTCGGCATGCTGAGAGCTGTTGCCTGCAAGGTGATTTGTTGAGTCCAGATTCCACAGAGAAAAAGTTGGCATCAAAGCATGAGTAATTGGAGTGTGAGCAAGCAGTACAAAAGCAGGCACACCCAGGATCTCTACCCATTTACCAAGCATTCTTGACACACCCAAGAATGGAGAAAATCCCCAGATAATCCTTCAGATTTTATACGCCTAAGGACACAAACTGATTTTGTGATTTCCCCCCAAGCAACTAAGGTATATATCTTCATTTTAAGAATTGCAATATTAATAAAGGTGTAGCTGGTTCATCTGTACTAACCATTGTTTATTTAACCAAGGATTCATGCAACATAATAAATAAAAAATCAAACAAATCATATTAGGACTCTTAGCATGTAGTGTGAATCCAATTGTTACAGCAATAGCACTTAGACATATATACTGCTTCACAGTGCTTTACAGTCCTCTCTAAGAGGTTTTATAGAGTCAGCATATTGCCCCCAATTATCTGGGTCCTCATTATAGTTATCACTATAGCTAGTTATAGTTATAGTTCTATAGTCAGCAGCATAGTAGGAGATACAAGGCAAGCAAAAAGGTGCTCATAGCATTGCCATCTATGCCTCACTCCTGGGAATCCAAACTACATTTCCATCCCTTTGGACGCACCATTTCGAAACTAGTGCCCATTGCTGATGCTGTTTGAAATAGACATTAGCTGATTAGTTCTGCAACTCGATGCTGTTAAAAAATAGTGGACTTCTACTTTGATTGCTGTTTAGACCAGTTCCCATAAAGGTCCATAGTGGTTAATGAATGTGGAAGTTAGTTCAAGTTCATTGGAAGACATCAATTTGATTAAAGCTTGTTATTTTCATTTCTGTAAATAGTGTGCTCATCTCTCCAGTAGTTTCTCTTATCAGTAGTGATATCTGTGAAAGCCATAGATATGCAAACTTCAGTATGGGAGGTATTGTTTATGTCTATACTTATAGCTATTGGTGTATCTATAGCTATACCTAGTTCCTATCCTAAAGGATGTATGAGATTAAGCTATATAATATGCATGGAGTAGCAGTGTAATTGCTGCATTTTATTTTATTTGATCATATCTTTTGTTTGAAAACTGGTCATATGAATGAGAATTCTACTAATATATAAATGTATTGTATATATACTGTATTTTTTTTATTCCTGGGTATCTGAAAGGTGCCCAGGTTATGAATTGCTTTCCTTGTGTATATCCCTCTATGAAAAGATCACATTCTGTTTTTCCATTTCTTTCTGTTTCCTTTGCTTACCTATTTCACTCAGTGAAAATATTTCTTTTGACTATTGGCTTTCTCTGCTATATGCAATGAAAAAATATGAAAACTGCTCTCCCAGTGTTTGCAAAGTGATTGAAATGGGTTTTCTTGAATGTATAATCACAATGATCTCTTCTTTCACATTACAGTGAGCTAACACAAGTTCATTGTCTAGGCTCTATAATGAATTTTACAGTACTTGGGTGTGTCTGTCTGAAACGGTTCTTGAATCACTCCTTATATTATTATTACTACACCCACAGGAATTTACATCACCAGGTAAGATATGTTTAAAACGGAGAGTAAAAGTCTACAGTTAAAGAAGACAGGCAACGGATTCCAGTTAACCCATTCACAAAAGAGAAGGAAAAAGACAGGATAGAGCAGGTATGTTTTATATAGCACAATGTTGGTAACTGTAAATAACCCCTTCTAGCAAGCTTTGGGAGTAAAGTATTTCTGAATCTTAGCTGGGAGTTTATTGATGAACATCGAAAAGGCTACTGATTGGTGGTTATAAGGATTTGGCAACAACATTCATTGGTTTCATTGGTTTGGAATCTTTCATCTTAAAAGACTTTCAGCTTTTGAGAAAGATAAAGGAGATGCCATTACCCAGAGTGAAACAGATATTTTTTTAAAAGAACTAAAAAGTAGGAATTAAAGCACATGATCTGGGTAAAGTTTTAAAAAGCTTCCTGGTCGCTTTAGAAAGTTAATTTTCAATGTGTTCTGCTTGATCTTGTTCTTATACCAGGTGTTTCAAAGGTAGAAAAAATCTCTCTGAGTAATCAGATTTTTCAAAGTCAGAAGTTTAGTACTGTTTGCTCTTGGAAAGAATAGATTAAATCTTGATTACTGCTTAGTGCTTTCCAGTTGATTAATGCTTTGAAAATGATGAATACTCTGAAGAAAGTGCTATGTTTGTAAGAATCCCACCCCATTTGAAATAAATGGGCAAAAGTTTAATAGAGAAAAAATGGTAAGAGATAGAGGACACACATGAAAATAATGTTCTAGAATTGTTTTTTTCTCTTTGACTAGGAAGACTGAAAGGCTATTTCTTATTTTTATTTTTTATGCCTTTGTGTCAGTGTTGATTCCTGGCAACTGCATGGACTAGACTATGTGTATTTATGGGCTGGTTTTGTATGAGATGTATATAAAAATATCATCTAAGATAGCATGTGATTTTTCACTGGACCATGGATTAGTCAACCATAAGTTTACATAAAAATGCAATGGATTAAAGACATTTATGCCTAGCTATATTCTTATCATTCTCTTGACATCTGTGCTGTTAGTAAAAAAAACAAAAACATTCCAGAATTGATCAGAGTTTTCAGAGTCAATGTTAAGCCAATGATATTTAATTCTATTACTTTTGATGAAAATTCATGGCCAACCATGCCTCAGTATAGCCATGTTTCATCTTCTATATGAACAAGAGAGAGCATATTGCGTCTCCACTGCTTATCTTTCCCATTTTAAAAAATATATATCTTCCCATTTATTTCTAACCGGGCTCCCAGATTGTTGTTCTGCTTGTGCTATTGGATTCCTCACCAATGATCAGCTACATGTTTATTAATGAATGAATGAATCATATTACTGTACATAGGACTGGGGAGCAGGGTTGAAAGTGGTGATAATGGTTTTATTGTGTAGTCTTGGTTTTTTTCCTGTTTAGATTTGGTAGTTTATCTCTATTGCTCTGGTTGCCAAGTGCTCAACATGCAAGTCACCTGATCCCAGAGTATGGGGGTGGGGAAACATGACTGCCAGAATTTTGAATCCAGGTTGTACATCCCTTTTCTTGGATCTGTTGTAACTTTGGACAGTCACAAGTTAAGGTCTACCTATAATCACTTTCATCAATACTTTCTCTTCTTAGGACAGTTTGTAATTATATACAACAACATTACAAGCAATACTAAAGAAGGGCTGATAATTTGCCATATCCATGTTATCACTTTTGTCATTGAATATGTTTTATGTCCATTTAAGGTAACTTTTGAATGTTGTGAACACCATCATGATGTGGATATTCCTTCTTCTAGGTAAGTGTTTTCTATGCATGCAAGTGAAAAATATTAGATGGATGATAAGGAAGATCCAGGCAATAGTTAATATCTCCTATTAATACTGGTTGACCTCAAGAGACCTGCTTTGGATCTGTTTATACTGAATAATTAGTCTATATTCAACTTTTCTTTTGTGGAGAGCATAATGGGTAATGCAGGGAACACCGGAACACACAGATTATTTCAAGGTGTGATGGAATGTGCATCTGGAGAAGGAATGTGTGTGTGTGTGTGTGTGTGTGTGTGTGTGTGTGTGTGCATGTTTGTGTTTGTGCATGTGTGTGTCCTGACCATGAGCACCATGGTTTCCCAGGGAAGAAATAGTACATTCCAAAGAGAAGCTTAAATTAAGAGACTTTACAGTCCTGAGATGAATGGAGGGAAGAGAAGAAGAGATTCAGAATAGCCACACACATCCCAGAATCTCTCAGGGTATATCTAGTAGGTTAGAAGGGAAGTTTAGTTTGGCAAGATTTGTCCATTAGGTACAAGCAGAATTTTAAAGCTATCAATTCAGTTGGATTTCATTGTGTTGTTTTTGGGCAGGGGCCTGACACAAGCTTTGTAGATGTGCACATGTTAAATAAAATAACTGGCTAACAACAACTGGAAAAATAAAAATATATTATTATTAAAATAATAATAAAAAGCTTTCAAGCTACGAAGAACAATCCCATCACGGGGCCCTCCTTCCCTCCTGGTGCAGCACCTGAGGGAAAATTCAGGTCTTCAGGGCCTTCCAGACTGTAAGGAGTGTAGGGGTCCTCCCCATACCAGGAAGAAGCTGTTTTAGATGGTTGATCCAGCTACATAAATTATTGGCTTCCTAGCTCCCACTAGATGACAATATTTAAGAGTGAGGACCTGGAGTGAACCACCTTATCCAATATAGTGGGACCAGTATATTTCTTAAGGGGAGTTGTGGCATGCAGACAGGATAACCTGTCTGCATGCCATATGTTTTTAGCAAATATGTCACAATAAAGAACATTTTTAAATAATAGTTCTAGTTCACAGATTCAAATGATTTCTTTTATGTTTTCTAGGTCTGTGTGTCTTTTGCACTATTTTCTGAAAAGGGCATTTGAGAATTAATGAGATAACATTGCATGTTGTTGGTGTCTGTAATAGGAGAAAATTAAGTCATTTGTTGGATGGGTGAATAATATTTAGCAGATCTTTACTGCTTTTACAACTATTGGATTGTTTAGCATATATGGTTTCTCTAATCTTTATGACAGTGCTATAAGGTAAAGCCATAGAATTAGCTACACATTACAACTTAGCAAGTTGAGGCTAACAGTAGGAAGCTCCACGGGGTTCTTACTTCTAGGCTGATATACACACAGAATTATGGTCTCAATGACTTTCTTATGGTCATTTAATAGCTAGTTTATGGTGGAAGTGAAATTCAAAGCAGAAGTTCCTTAATTCTGTAATCAGACACTTAACTTGAAAGCTATTATGTTATTTTGCATTGCTTTTTTTAAGCTACTCAATATAGAAGCTTCACTTGTCACAAAAAAGGGCTGTGTTTCACTCCTCTTTTCTCTTAATGATTGCTTTGTTAAAGTCAATTTCTGAATTTCTTTCTAGCTTCTTCACACCTCCTGGTTGCACAAAGAACCTGTCTGCATGGGGCCTGCTATCCACCTGTGCAGGATCTTCTTATAGGAAGAATCCATTATTTGAAGGCATCCTCCACCTGTGGACTTACCCAACCTGAAACTTCCTGTACTCCATATGGAAAAGTATGTATGATCCAAATGTTATTATTCATTCAGGAATGACTTTCATAACTTAGTGGCATTGGTTTTGTGGGACTAGGTGCTTGACTATGTTTGATTCCTGATAATTGCACAAATAGAATTGAATTGAATTGAATTCTTTATTGGCCAGGTGTGATTGGATACACAAGGAATTTGTCTCTGGTGCATATGCTGTCAGTGTACATAAAAGAAAAGATAAATTTCTCACAAATCATAAGGTACAACACTTAATGATAGTCATAGGGTATAAATCAGAGGTGGGTTGCAAATCCCGGCGCTACTGGTTTGCTCATGCTCATGTGCTCGCGTGCGTGTTACTTCTGCACATGTGCAGAAGCTTCTGCGCATGTATAGAAGCATCCAGGCAGGTGGGTGGAGCTTCCCACCGAACCAGGCTGAACCGGGAGCAACCGACATCTGGTACAAATAAGCAATCAAATCATACTAGGAAACAATCAATATAAATCGTAAGTATACAAGCAACAAAGTTACAGTCATAAGTGGGAGGAGATGGTGATAGGAATGATGAGAAGATTAATAGTAATAGTAATGCAGACTTAGTAAATAATCATCTATTTGAATTTAAAGCCAGAATTTTAAAGTATAATTATTATGTTCACTAACGAAACAAATTTGGGAGCCTACCTAACTTTAGTGAAATTTAATTCTATATTTTGGGTGTCCTAACAGGTTATTTTGTCTGCCCTTAACACAGCTTGTATAAGAGTGACTTCTTTGGATAAGCAGTGATGTTTTACATATTTTCTTTTAAATCAACTCCCACAAGCCATAGTAACTAGAGAACAAATGAATTTCATGTCAACTATTTTCATAACTTTTTCATCTTGCACTTGTTGATTGAAATCTAATTTCTTTTTTTTATTAATTTTTATTTTCATAGTTTCCCAAAAATCAAGAGTGTCTTGTAGCATGTTTTTAGACTAAGAAATAAGTTAAAACTTGTTTTTAAATAATTTTTGCTATTCTGAAAAGATGCTACCAGACTCTTCTTGATTTTTGACCACCATAAATGAACGTGGCCCTTCCACGAGGATGGCACATGTTTTAAGAAACAGAAGGTGGTCAAGCTATTCTTCCTCCCCTGCTATCTCATTTTAAAATTCCAGGTTAAGGCATTTCCCTTTAGCAAATTTCAGACTATATCTTCTTCACGTCAACATTCTGAATAAATGCTAGTGCAGCAGAGGCTTGTTGGGACTGTCACTGGCAGGTCACTCCACCCTGTGTAGGAGTAAAACTCTTAATATCCAGAACACTTTCATAAGCACATAATGTTTCACATAACGTGAAAGAAAGAAGCAGAAGCAGGTACTTCTGAACACAGAGAAGAATGCTTTAGAACAGTGATAGAACTAGCAGTACTCTACCACCCACTGAAATATTGCTTCTCTCTGCATTGGTTCTGTTGGCTGTAGTTGAAAAGAAGATTAAAGCAGGCTAAGATTTGGATAGAAGGACCCCAGGAAGCGAGACTGAAAATACTGCAAAGAAGTCCCCTATTTTTGCCATATCCACTTGGAACTTGAGCTTGACCTACAGGAGGCTTTTATATTTTTAACGAATACTACTCTCAAGATAAGGGACATGGTGGCTCAGTGGCTAAGATGCTGAGCTTGTCGATCAGAAAGGTAGGCAGTTCAGCAGTTTGAATCCCTAGCGCCGCATAATGGTGTGAGCTCCCATTACTAGTCCCAGCTTCTGCCAACCTAGCAGTTTGAAATCACATAAGAAATGCAAGTAGAAAAATAGGAACCACCTTTGGTGGGAAGGTAACAGCGTTCCATGCACCTTTGGCATTTAGTAATGCCAGTCTCATGACCACGGAGAACGTCTTTGGACAATGCTGGCTCTTCGGCTTTGAAATGGAAATGAACACCACCTCCTAGAGTCAGAAATGACTAGCACATANAAATAGTACATTCCAAAGAGAAGCTTAAATTAAGAGACTTTACAGTCCTGAGATGAATGGAGGGAAGAGAAGAAGAGATTCAGAATAGCCACACACATCCCAGAATCTCTCAGGGTATATCTAGTAGGTTAGAAGGGAAGTTTAGTTTGGCAAGATTTGTCCATTAGGTACAAGCAGAATTTTAAAGCTATCAATTCAGTTGGATTTCATTGTGTTGTTTTTGGGCAGGGGCCTGACACAAGCTTTGTAGATGTGCACATGTTAAATAAAATAACTGGCTAACAACAACTGGAAAAATAAAAATATATTATTATTAAAATAATAATAAAAAGCTTTCAAGCTACGAAGAACAATCCCATCACGGGGCCCTCCTTCCCTCCTGGTGCAGCACCTGAGGGAAAATTCAGGTCTTCAGGGCCTTCCAGACTGTAAGGAGTGTAGGGGTCCTCCCCATACCAGGAAGAAGCTGTTTTAGATGGTTGATCCAGCTACATAAATTATTGGCTTCCTAGCTCCCACTAGATGACAATATTTAAGAGTGAGGACCTGGAGTGAACCACCTTATCCAATATAGTGGGACCAGTATATTTCTTAAGGGGAGTTGTGGCATGCAGACAGGATAACCTGTCTGCATGCCATATGTTTTTAGCAAATATGTCACAATAAAGAACATTTTTAAATAATAGTTCTAGTTCACAGATTCAAATGATTTCTTTTATGTTTTCTAGGTCTGTGTGTCTTTTGCACTATTTTCTGAAAAGGGCATTTGAGAATTAATGAGATAACATTGCATGTTGTTGGTGTCTGTAATAGGAGAAAATTAAGTCATTTGTTGGATGGGTGAATAATATTTAGCAGATCTTTACTGCTTTTACAACTATTGGATTGTTTAGCATATATGGTTTCTCTAATCTTTATGACAGTGCTATAAGGTAAAGCCATAGAATTAGCTACACATTACAACTTAGCAAGTTGAGGCTAACAGTAGGAAGCTCCACGGGGTTCTTACTTCTAGGCTGATATACACACAGAATTATGGTCTCAATGACTTTCTTATGGTCATTTAATAGCTAGTTTATGGTGGAAGTGAAATTCAAAGCAGAAGTTCCTTAATTCTGTAATCAGACACTTAACTTGAAAGCTATTATGTTATTTTGCATTGCTTTTTTTAAGCTACTCAATATAGAAGCTTCACTTGTCACAAAAAAGGGCTGTGTTTCACTCCTCTTTTCTCTTAATGATTGCTTTGTTAAAGTCAATTTCTGAATTTCTTTCTAGCTTCTTCACACCTCCTGGTTGCACAAAGAACCTGTCTGCATGGGGCCTGCTATCCACCTGTGCAGGATCTTCTTATAGGAAGAATCCATTATTTGAAGGCATCCTCCACCTGTGGACTTACCCAACCTGAAACTTCCTGTACTCCATATGGAAAAGTATGTATGATCCAAATGTTATTATTCATTCAGGAATGACTTTCATAACTTAGTGGCATTGGTTTTGTGGGACTAGGTGCTTGACTATGTTTGATTCCTGATAATTGCACAAATAGAATTGAATTGAATTGAATTCTTTATTGGCCAGGTGTGATTGGATACACAAGGAATTTGTCTCTGGTGCATATGCTGTCAGTGTACATAAAAGAAAAGATAAATTTCTCACAAATCATAAGGTACAACACTTAATGATAGTCATAGGGTATAAATCAGAGGTGGGTTGCAAATCCCGGCGCTACTGGTTTGCTCATGCTCATGTGCTCGCGTGCGTGTTACTTCTGCACATGTGCAGAAGCTTCTGCGCATGTATAGAAGCATCCAGGCAGGTGGGTGGAGCTTCCCACCGAACCAGGCTGAACCGGGAGCAACCGACATCTGGTACAAATAAGCAATCAAATCATACTAGGAAACAATCAATATAAATCGTAAGTATACAAGCAACAAAGTTACAGTCATAAGTGGGAGGAGATGGTGATAGGAATGATGAGAAGATTAATAGTAATAGTAATGCAGACTTAGTAAATAATCATCTATTTGAATTTAAAGCCAGAATTTTAAAGTATAATTATTATGTTCACTAACGAAACAAATTTGGGAGCCTACCTAACTTTAGTGAAATTTAATTCTATATTTTGGGTGTCCTAACAGGTTATTTTGTCTGCCCTTAACACAGCTTGTATAAGAGTGACTTCTTTGGATAAGCAGTGATGTTTTACATATTTTCTTTTAAATCAACTCCCACAAGCCATAGTAACTAGAGAACAAATGAATTTCATGTCAACTATTTTCATAACTTTTTCATCTTGCACTTGTTGATTGAAATCTAATTTCTTTTTTTTATTAATTTTTATTTTCATAGTTTCCCAAAAATCAAGAGTGTCTTGTAGCATGTTTTTAGACTAAGAAATAAGTTAAAACTTGTTTTTAAATAATTTTTGCTATTCTGAAAAGATGCTACCAGACTCTTCTTGATTTTTGACCACCATAAATGAACGTGGCCCTTCCACGAGGATGGCACATGTTTTAAGAAACAGAAGGTGGTCAAGCTATTCTTCCTCCCCTGCTATCTCATTTTAAAATTCCAGGTTAAGGCATTTCCCTTTAGCAAATTTCAGACTATATCTTCTTCACGTCAACATTCTGAATAAATGCTAGTGCAGCAGAGGCTTGTTGGGACTGTCACTGGCAGGTCACTCCACCCTGTGTAGGAGTAAAACTCTTAATATCCAGAACACTTTCATAAGCACATAATGTTTCACATAACGTGAAAGAAAGAAGCAGAAGCAGGTACTTCTGAACACAGAGAAGAATGCTTTAGAACAGTGATAGAACTAGCAGTACTCTACCACCCACTGAAATATTGCTTCTCTCTGCATTGGTTCTGTTGGCTGTAGTTGAAAAGAAGATTAAAGCAGGCTAAGATTTGGATAGAAGGACCCCAGGAAGCGAGACTGAAAATACTGCAAAGAAGTCCCCTATTTTTGCCATATCCACTTGGAACTTGAGCTTGACCTACAGGAGGCTTTTATATTTTTAACGAATACTACTCTCAA